TACATCAATAAACAAAGGCAATAAGAAAATAATCAATACAAAACAGTTAAAATAAATCTCATAAACAAAAAATAAAAAATAAACAATAACAATAACACAAGCATTTAAAAACCTATGGCTAGGCCAAATGTAATAATTTAAAATTTAAAAAATAATGCTGGACATGAACAAGGTAGGATATAACTAGGATAGGGTTTTCAAAGAAAGATGAGGGCGCACAAGCAATCCTAAATCAATGGTAAAGTGCAATGAAAGATTTCCAATATTTTCCATCAGAATGGAGACTGCCGTCAAGATATAAGACTAGGGCTCCTGCTGCACAGCTGTATAAAATTCACATTGAACTAAATTATATGGCAGTGTGGACTAAGATAACCCAGTTCAAAGCAGACATTGGGTCCTTCCATTGTTGTTCATTCGTTCAGTCGTCTCCGACTCTTCGTGACCTCATGGACCAGCCCACGCCAGAGCTCCCTGTCGGCCGTCACCACCCCCAGCTCCTTCAAGGTCAGTCCAGTCACTTCAAGGATGCCATCCATCTATCTTGTCCTTGGTCGGCCCCTCTTCCTTTTGCCTTCCACTTTCCCTAACATAATTGTCTTCTCTAGGCTTTCCTGTCTCCTCATGATGTGGCCAAAGTACTTCAACTTTGTCTCTAGTATCCTTCCCTCCAGTGAGCAGCCGGGCTTTATTTCCTGGAGGATGGACTGGTTGGATCTTCTCGCAGTCCAAGGCACTCTCAGCACTTTCCTCCAGCACCACAGCTCAAAAGCATCGATCTTCCTTCGCTCAGCCTTCCCTAAGGTCCAGCTCTCACATCCGTAGGTTACTACAGGGAATACCATGGCTTTGACTAGGCGGATCTTTGTTGCCAGTCTGATGTCTCTACTCTTTACTGTTTTATCAAGACTGGACATTGCTCTCCTCCCAAGAAGTAAGCGTCTTCTGATTTCCTGGCTACAGTCTGCATCTGCAGTAATCTTTGCACCTAGAAATACAAAGTCTGTCACGGCCTCCACGGTTTCTCCCTCTATTTTCCAGTTGTCAATCATTCTTGTTGCCATAATCTTGGTTTTTTTGACGTTTAGCTGCAACCCAGCTTTTGCGCTTTCTTCTTTCACCTTGATTAGAAGGCTCCTCAGCTCCTCCTCGCTTTTGGCCATACAGACCCTATATCCCAGGATCTGATCCCAGGTTTTCTGTTTATCCCAGATTATCTGGGAGTGCAAACTCATATAATCCAGTTTAAAGCAGAAAACCTGGGATCAGATCCTTGATATATGGCCTGTCTGGAAGGGTCCGTTGTGGATTATCTGCCTTGATATTCTGGGTTGCATAGCTGTGTGGAAAGGCCATAGGACTTGGAAGAGCAACTATGGGTCCTTCCACACAGCCATACAACCCAGAATATCAAGGCAGATAATCCACAATATATGCTTTGACAGTTCACACTGCCACATAATCCAGTTCAATGTGGATTTTATATGGCTCTGTGGCCTGTGAAGGAACTCAATAAGATCCCAAAGTATTATCGTATACAGCAGCCATGGCACATTTTCCAAGATCATTCTGAAACTGAAGATAATAGCAAATCCAATATTTTGACAATATTTGTATTAGAGATACACCCCAGAGACAAACACTTCTGGGAGGGGGCATATTTTATGCATGATAGGTAAGTGAATCCATGGATATTGAGTGCACGAATAAGGGGGTCATGCTATAGCACTGAATACTAAAATTGGGTTGCTGTGAGTTTTCCGGGTTGTCTGGCCGTGTTCCAGAAGCATTGTCTCCTGACGTTTCACCAACATCTATGACAGGCATCTTCAGAGGTTGTGAGGTATATTGGTAACTAGGCAAGAAAGGTTTATATATATGTGGAATGTCCAGGGTGGGAGAAAGAACTCTTGTTTGCTTGAGACAAGTGTGAATGTTGCAATTGGCCACCTTGATTAGCACTGAATGGCCTTGCAGCTTCAATGTCTGGTTGGTTGCTGCCTGGAGGAACTCTTTGTTGGTTCATCTGATTTTTTGGTCGTGTCTGCAAGGACGTTGCCCAGGGGATGCCATGATGATTTGATGTTTTTATCATCCTTGTGGGAGGCTTCTCTCATGTCCCTGTATGAGGAGCTGGAGCTGATAGAGGGAGCTCAACCGCCTTTCCCTGGATTTGAACCTGTGACCTGTTGGTCTTCAGTCCTGCCGGCACAGTGGTTTAACGCACTGCGCCACCGGGGGCTCCTGGTTCACCTGATGAACCAGGACCTGGGCACAACATTTTATTTGAGAACACAGAAATGCTGGCCCACTCTAACAACTACTATGTCAGACTATACAGAGAAGCCATTGAAATCCATAAGCATATGGACAATTTCAACAGGAAGGAGGAAACCATGAAAATGAACAAAATCTGGCTACCAGTATTAAAAAGTTCTAAAATCAGGACAGTAAATAAAGAGCAACCCTCAATAAACATAGGAGTTCCAGGCAAGAATCAATCAGGGCCAGGTAACACCTCCCAACAAAGGATCTCCCCAGGCAGTAACTAGCCAGGTTTTGAAGCTGAAAGGCTATTAAATGCTAATCAAGGTGGCCAATTGAGAGATACACACCTACCTCAAGCAGACAAGAATTCCTTCTCCCACCCTGGACATTATTCCATGTCAGACTACACAGAGAAGAACATTGAAATCCACAATATATCCTGGAAACGAGACAAGGGAGGTGTATCTGTCCAGGGTGGGAGAAAGAACTCTTGTCTGTTGGAGGCAAGTGTGAATACTCCAATTAGGATCGCCCAGGCTATTGTGTCTCTCATTTTAATGCCTGGTTGCACAACCAAACCGACCCGTGAAGAAAGCTGATAGGCACAGAACCAGCCCATGGGCAGGCGGGGTGGGCGGTGCTTGAGGCACGTCAGCGCCCTCCTCAACCCGTGATTGGCCGGCTCCCCGGGCCGGGAAGGGGGCGGCCCTCCGCGCCTGATGTCACAAGCCTACAAGTGGGGGAAGGAGTTATTTATAGAGGCGGAGAGCAGCTGCGAGGAAGCAAGCCTTGGGTGAGTCGGGGAGCCTTCCGCCCCCCCCCTTTTTCGCCTTCCCCAGGCGCCCAGTTTGGGTCTCCCTTCGGGTCGGGGAAGGGGAGAGGAGGGCGGGGAGCGGCTATTCTGACTTAAACCTCTCCCTCTTTTCCTTCCGATTGTTGTTCAGAGCTCGATTCGAAAACAAGCCCCGGAGTGAAACAGGAGCGATGGACCCTTGCCACCCCGAGGAGACCGGCACAGAGATCCCCGGCCTTGGTGAGTGGGGGGCGCCAAGAGGAGGAGGAGGGGGAGGAGGGGGAGGAGGGGGAGGAGGGGGAGGGCGGTGAGGCCTAGCGGGCGTTGAGGCCTGTCTTGCGGCTGCGGCTTTTTTCGAGCGCTGGCGCAGCTCTGGGGGCGGGGCCTGGGCTCGAGCTGCGCGCGCAGCCTCTGACCCCCTTCTCGCCTCGTTGTGACGTTGCCGGCTTCGCGCGCGCGCTCTCTCTCTCTCTCTCCCCCTGAGCCCTTCTTATCTCCCTCCCCCGCTTTCTTCTGACCACGTCCTGCCTCCGCCATTGTGGCTGGTGTTTCCGAGGCTGCGCAGTCCTGCCTTCCTCTTGCCTCGCGGGCGCCGCCATTGTGAGGTCAAGGCGCGCGAGGGTGCGCGTGGCGCTTTGCAGGCCGCACGGGGAGGGGAGAAGAAGGAGGTGGCTTAGACTAAGCCACGCTTCCTTGATGGAGGAGGAGAGTGGGGAGGGAATCGAACCCACATAAAGCTCGGCCTTGGGGGCATCTATGGAGGAAGAAGCAGCGTTGGCTGCCTTTGTAAGTCGGAAACCCCCAAAATGGAGGGGAGGCCGCCACGTGACCGGCGGGCAGCGTGGAAACGCGGCCTGGACGGTTCGCTTCCGCCTCGCACCCAAGCTCACGTGGACCTTGCGGCTCCCCTTTGCCCTCGAGTGCCCGTGCCAAGACACCCAAAGGGAAGGGAAACTATATTACCCCCACATCCTTACTGTTTTTCTTTTAAATCGTGCCTTCAAAACGACTTTGCAACCCTGCACTTCTTGGCAACCAAGAGATTCCGACTGTCCAAGCCATGTCTGTAGTAAACTTCCGATTACTCAAGCCAACAAAATTAAACTTTTTGTAATCATCAGACATGAGAGTAGCATAGTTTCAATCAATTTTTATGCTGATTTTAAATACCTTTATTTTTCCCCATAACCACCAACTTTTAAAAAATAGGACAAATTGTACATTATATTGTAAAGTTTGCACACTTCACATCATAATCATGTAACACAAACCGACAAATATATTTCATCAGATGTAGTTTTAGGTCATTTTTATAGGTTTTTTGTGCTGAATTCAAATCTGTTTACTTTTTCTCTATTACATATAGGTTTGCAATGAGACTAATCGAAGAATTAATATATTTATGCACTGATATCAATTAGATTCTATTGCTATATGTGCATAAATGCATTAATTGCAGTCCTACTCAGCTTTTTGAATGCAGTATTTCAATTTTTTGCCAGTTTTTTTGCGCAGTTTTGCCTACCATAGTACTTTTTAAAACAGTGCTTGGTTTTACCTGGAAATAGCCATATGTTAAAGCAAGAAGAGTTCTAGCGGCACAGCTTTACATTGTTAAGCAAGTAGATGTGTTTTGGAAAAATCCGTAAGTTTGAAATGAGAACATCAACACTAGTTGGGAAAGCAGTTTCTTAAAGCTCTTTAAAACCAATTTCTAGTTTGAGAATACTTGAAACCCAAAACAGTGCAAGGTGTGTTGTGTTTTGAAAAGCTTTAAAAAATTCAAAAGGTCAGTTTGCTTCAGAGGCTTACAGATATTCAGTAGAGCTGGAGATCAGTAATGATGAATAGCAACACTAATATTAAGTGAAGAGTAGTGCCCTATTGCAATTGTTGAAGTTTTTTTTCATTCATTGTTTAAATGCAAAAATAACTAAAATAAGAATTTACAAAAATGTTTATTATACATGAGTTACTTATCTGGACAAAGGCAGTGCAACAAACATTGTTTCCATTGACATTGATGAGATACTTTCAGTAACAAGATAAATATTAACTTGTTGCAGTCAGTGTTTTTTCTTTGAAGATAGTGAATGTCCCTTCTCATCAGTATCAATCCACAAGAATTGGCTCTTCAAGTAATTCCAATGTTTTCATTAATTTATACCCATGTGGTAAAATCCTTTGATCCTGTTATGTCACACCCCTTTTCATGCAGATACACAAAAACAGGCTATAAAAGTAGTTTATATACATTAGGAAATTGAAGATTCTCTTCACTGTGTAGTATTTTTATTTCTTAAGTTGTCAAAAAACCCTTCACCTGTGAAAAAATATGGTACATGAATAACCAGTTAAAAGCAATTTCCGATCAGAATCCTAGTCTTAAACTACACAATCTCCAGTAGTGAGAGTGGGTGGACTGATTTCCCCCTACCCTGGTTTAATATCTGCCACCCATCTCTAGTGTCTAAATTACAGCAAACTAAGGGGGGAAAAACTTGTTTTGATAATGAAGACATGGATCCATCTTGTGTCTGCCCTCAATTCCAATTCATTTTTAAAGCACTACTTGCCACTGCTTGATAAGCAGACTAAGACATTCACTATTAATAAATGGATGACTGGTCTGGACTATATCACATTGACTCATATCATTTGGGATTACATTTAATTTAATTGCATTCTGCATATTTGACACCAGTGCTACTCATAGTGGTGATCAGTGTTGCTCCATGTGCCCTTGGCTGCCAGTCTGCTATTTATAGGGAAGTTGCAGATACTGGGCACTAATATGATGCCAATCTGGCATATTAGGGGGAAAAAGTAATTAGCATTTTGCTAAGGAGCATTTTTATACACTAGCCAAATAACTCTGTTCAGATATGAACTTCTAAGTCACAAGACTGAATCAGTGGTTATTCAAGTACAAAAAAAATGGGTTTTGGAGCAAGCTAGCCAAGATCACATGAAAATGCTGATTAACAAAATCTGTTGGGGGTCAGGTTCCTGCAGGGACTGTTCAAAGTACAAAATATACTGAATAGCAATACAGATTTAAAAACAATGGAAATACATACTTTTTCCAGCAAGTGTTCTTGTTTTATTTCATCATTTTTGAAGTCGTCATTAACATCTAGAACCAGAATGGGGATATCTTTCAGGTTGTTGAAATCCACGCTAGAAACAATAATTAGTTAAGTAGATTTTAATCAACAGAAATCACCGTGCATTTTTCCAGTAGTAATTTTTGGAAATTTTCCTTGAATCGACATCTACATTTGGCAACTCTTCATTAGTTTAAAAATTGTGAAATTTGGAAAGCAATTTCTAGAAAACCTTCAACAGTACAATTCATAGAAAACTACAGTGTGCATAGCCCTGAAAAATGGATATAACTCCTCCTACATTTCCTGAACACAAGGATGTCTCAAACATTTCTTAAACAGTTGAGCAATGTCAGAGCATTCATCAATTTATGTAGTGCTTATATTAAATGTATTTCTTCTCTAGCATATCAAACTATTTAAAAAGCTTTAACAACTTACTTCATTGTTCTCTCGTGAAGCCAGATTTCATGTTTATAGTGGAGGTTTTCTAGATATTCAAGCTCAATTCCTTGTTCTTCTTCCCTGCCTCTACGCAGCAGCCTCTCCATGCACTTCTATATTTTTAAATGACAAAATACAATGTTTACAATCTGGTAACTATGAGGTTTCTGAAACACAAATACTCAGTTTTGCCTGCATTTAATATTGAAGTATTTCAAAAGTTACATGGGGCACTGAATCAGCTCTACTTTAGACATTAATACCTTATTTTAGTAGGTTTGGGATTTTTTTTATTATTTTCTGCTGGTACTACTATTACATTACTAAAAGAAAACAGTTGAATTCCATGCTTGTCTCTTGGCAACAGTGAGAACTCACAGAATTCTGACATCAGAATACTAAAATATTTGGAATTGTCTTTCAGTTACAGTTGCTCTAAGTAGGTAAGACTGAGTTCTGCTTGTAAACCTCTATAAGGCAATCTTATTGTATTTTATATCAGCTTGAGTCTTGTGGGAAATTAGAGCAGAAGTTTTGATTTTATCTGTAATAGGGCTGAGTTGTACAAATTTAGTGCCACAGTCAAAAGGAGCCTACATTTGTACCTAAATTTGCCCTTGCCACATGCGTCCAGTGCTTTCATTAGAATAAAAGGCCCTCTCATCTTTAAAAAGCATATTTTTGGGACACAATATGAAAAATTCCTATTTACTCTTTCAGATGGTTATCAAATGTCCAATTTGACCCAGTAAAGTGTACATATGTAACCACTTTAAATCGGAGCTTCGGATTGCTTTCAGCGTCCGAGTTTGCTATCAGCATGTCACCTAAAACCATAACCAACTGAGAAAGCATACCTCAGGGGTTGTCCGCAGGTAGATAATACCATCTAGCTCCAGGTTGGAGTCAAACTGGTTCAGAAACCATGCATGCCAGTCCTGATAAATGGCCCATTCTGTTTCATTGATGTCTCCCGATTCAAATAAACTGGAAGCAAATACATACCTGTGATAATTAAAAAAACAAAAGGATTTTAAAATGTGGATAGAAATGGATTTGAGAAAGGAAGTTTCATAAAGCTATAGAAGTTACCTACAATCGTTTAAATGCTAACTTGAAAATAAGTACCAACAAACATAATGCTTCCTACAACCAAACAAACATCCAGCTACAGGATTGGCCTGCAATATCACTGTTGCATTTTCTTAATGCTTATTTCTGATAACTGAGCATCCACTGTATCTTAAAACTTCCAAAATTCTTCCTGCACCAATTCAGTAAGTACAATTCCACTGAAGGTAGTGACAGTTGAAAAATACAAGAAAAAACAATTTCTGTAATTGAAATGTTGTAAAAGCACCCCACTGACTACAGATAAATTATGTAATCTCTTGCATTCTCATATTGCTATTTAAATAAAACCCTACATGTTTGTTAGCCATAGTCTATTTACAAACATGACTGAAGGCCATAGATGCATGCTGTATCTACCTGCCAGTTTAAAATACTGTCTCTACAATGGCTATTTCTGATGGAGGCATTTTTCAATAGATTCATTTATACCAAATTTCATCAATCGTTGATGTAGTACTGACATGTAAAGTTACGTAAGCTTACCTATCGCTGTACACCGATCTCTCAAAAAACTGCACAGGATGTTCTGCTTCGTGGAGTTTTGCAGAAACTGGTTTTAATTGCGCTTTGACTCGACTCAAACAGGCATAGGTCTGGAACGTGTAAGCCCATCTTGTAGGCTTGCCATACAACATTTGAAGCAAATTTCCTCCACTCTTCTGAGATGTTGAAAGCTCCTGATAATGTTAAAACATGTTTTCAGTGTGTAAAATAGCCATGCTTATCCTCTGTAGAAAATTTGTTTTAAGGTGGGTCCTGAATTATTTTACTGAAATTGTTTACCCTTGAGAGTATAGTGCGCTATTTTATGCCTGATGCTGAGGTCTTAATTCAGGCTCTTAAAATTATTTATGCATTTTTTTCAGTGAAATCAACAACTAGCACTTACTTGGTGTTCATTTTCAGTTGTCTGGATGTTGCACCACTTGGCAATGGGTTCAGGAATTACTTCCCATTCATCGCTGTATTTTTCTAGCAGATGGACAAAGGTAGACTTCCCTGCAGCTGTGAAGCAAAGCAGTTGGAAATATGGGTTGATACTGCCACAGGAGGGGGGGGGGGAGATATAGCAGGCCTGAGATATAGTGTCTTCTGGTAGGCAGCCATCTTCCAAAATCTCCAAACTTGGAAGCTATTTTAAATTGCATTTTTTCTATGCTGTTTTGTAGTATGACCCATTTTCTCCTTAGTGATGTTTGTCTCATTCTGTAATCCCCCAAATGATACAAGAATGAAACCATTTGGGTAATATGGGGGAGGAAGACATAGTTGAAGATAATGGAGCTCTGGACAGACTCAAGCTTAATGGTGTATCTACACTGCAGATTAAACGCAGTGTGACCACGTTAAATGCCATGGCTCAAAACGATGAAATTGTTAATTTTAGAAAGCCAGAATCACTGGGTTGTTGATTTTCTGGGCTGTATGGCCATGTTCTAGAAGCATTCTCTCCTGACGTTTTGCCTGCATCTGTGGCAGGCATCCTCAGAGGTTGTGAGGTCATATGCAAGGGTCCCACAGCAATGAGCTAATGTGGTATCAAACTGCATTTGTGCTACAGTGTAGATCAGACATGGGCAACCTTCAGCCCTCCGGGTGTTTTTGGACTACAACTCCTACAATTCCTAATAACCTACTGTGTGTATTGTAGTCCAAAACACCTGGAGGGCTGAAGTTTCAACGTTCTAGGTATAAATGCTCCCTTTGTGAAAACTGATGACTACCAAGTGTGAGGGAGGCCAGCCTTGGAAGATGTCTTGCTTGTGTTGTTGTAGGTTTTTTGGGACTGTATGGCCATGTTCTAGAAGCATTCTCTCCTGACGTTTTGCCTGCATCTATGGCAAACATTCTCAGAGGTTGAGACCTCACTTACTTAGTTTCCAACAGACGTCACAACCTCTGAGGATGCCTGCCATAGATGCAGGCGAAACGTCAGGAGAGAATACTTCTAGAACATGGCAATGAAGCCTGAAAAACCTACAGCAGTGGTTCTCAACCTGTGGGTTCCCAGGTGTTTTGGCCTACAACTCCCAGAAATCCCAGCCAGTTTTCTAGCTGTTAGGATTTCTACGAGTTGGAGGCAAAAACATCTGGGGACCCACAGGTTGGGAACCACTGACCTATAGCAACCTAGCGATGCCTGCCATGAAAACCTCCGACAATATCTTGCTTGTCCTTGTCACCTTCCATAGAAGTGTTTCATCCAGATTTGGGGCAGTGGGTAGGTCTAGAGTTTGGCCCTCTGGGTGAAGCTGAACGCCCACAAGCCCAAGTGTTGTAGATCACCGGCGTTTCCCCCCAAACCAAAAATAGCGGGTGGCGAGGCCTGCCTAGATTTTGGCGCCAACATAAGGCAATGGGGCTGGGTGTCTCGCTTCCCCATAACTGGCACAGTCTCCTCGAGTGTAAGTCTCCTTCGGGGGGGCCCCTTTGCTCTCATGGAATAGTTTGTAAAAAATGGGATTCAGACACGTACTCCCTCCCGCTCCCCTGGATAGATACTCACCGATATTCCCCTCGATGGAGATCTTCTTGAGGCGCTTCTCGAAGCTGTCGTTGAGGGAGCCCTGGGGGCTGAGGCAGAGGCGCTTGTGCGGCGGGGACATGGCGGTCGTGCTCCTCGGCGGGTCTGGCGGGAAGAAGGAGCGGGGCCGGCGCTTCCCCTGGTTCAAAGCTCCCGCCTCCCGCCGGCCAATCCCTGGCGCCCAGGCAGCCTCCCGCCAACGCTGCGCCGCTGTCTCCGCCCCCTTGGCTGCCTTTGCCTCCAAGCCGCCCCCTTCCCGCGCTCCGGCAAACCGCTTGTTTGCGGAAAAGAGAGAAGGAGGGAGGGAGGGCGGCTGGCTGGCGGGGGAGCCGCCATTTTGTGCCCGTCTCCTGCGTCACTCCCTGCAGGACACACAGGCCGGGGCAGGTTAGGTTTAGTTGTCGTTTTGGGAGTACTCTTGTTCCAGGACTTCCAAAAAGTATATTTCAGGGGTCATCTGTCTTCCTCCCCCGCCCCAAAGCCATAAAGGAAAAAATAAAAGGAAACCACCTCTTAAGGATGCCTTAGGGCCCCTCTACACAGACATATCCCAGAATATCAAGGCAGAAAATCCCACATCTGTTTTGAACTGGTTTATATGGCAGTGTGGACTCGGGGCTCTTCCACATAGCCACATAACCCAGAATATCAAGGCAGAAAATCGCACATTATATGCTGTGAACTGGGTTATATGGCAGTCTGGACTCAGGGCCCTTCCACATAGCCATATAACCCAGAATATCAAGGCAGAAAATCGCACATCATCAGAGTGTGGACTCAGATAACCCAGTTCAAAGCCTATATTGTAGGATTGTCTGCCTTGATATTCTGGGATATAGGGCTGTTTGGAAGGGCCCTCAGGCCCTATATCCCGGGATCTGATCCAAGATTACCCTTAGATAATTACCCTTAGATAATTACCCTTAGATAGAACCATAGAGTTGGAAGAGTACGCATGGGCCATGTAGTCCAACCCCATTCTGTGGCACAGTGGGTTAAACTCCTGTGCCGGCAGGACTGAAGACCAACAAGTCACAGGTCCGAATCCGGGGAGAGGCGGATGAGCTCCCTCTATCACCTCCAGCTCCTCATGTGGGGACATGAGAGAAGCCTCCCACAAGGTTGATAAAAATATCAAATCATCCAGGCGTCCCCTGGGCAACGTCCTTGCAGATGGCCAATTCTCTCACACCAGAAGCTACTTGCAGTTTGTCAAGTCTCTCCTGACACGACAAAAAAACCCTATTCTGAAATGCGGGGATAAGCACAATCAAAGCAACCCCCCCCCCCCAATAGATGGCCATCTAGCCTCTATTTAAAAGCCTCCAAGGAAGATCTTCCACCAGAGAGTTCCACTGCTGAATATCTCATGATCAGGAAGTTCTTCCTAATGTTTTAAATAAAAACATATATAATTTTATAATTAAATATATAAATGTTTTAGGTAAGTAAATAAATAATGTTCAGGTGGAACCTCCTCTTCTGTCATTTGAACCAATTGCTTTGAGTCCTAGGCTCCTTCCACACAGCTGTATAAAATCCCACATTACCTGCTTTGAACTGGGTTATATGGCAGTGTGGACTCAGGGTCCTTCCACATAGCCATACAACCCAGAATATCAAGGCAGAAAATCCCACAGTATCTGCTTTGAATTGGGTTGAGTCCACACTGCCAATATATCCCAGTTCAAACCAGATGATATGGGATCTCATTAAACTCTGTGGAAGGGGCCTATGTAAATGGAAAGAGGCCTCTTGAGTTAAGGCTCTTCGATGCTGTCCATTGCTTTGCCTGCTATGAAGTAACTTCTTCCTGTTGATTTGAAAAGTGCGGTGACTTGTTCAAAGCGATTTAACTGGGAAGGCAAACTTGGGCCCTCCAGGTGTTTGGGACAAGCTTAGCGGGGAAAAGGAAGGGGGCTGAGGCCAGGCATTGTGGGACTTGCAGTCCAAAGCACCTGGAGGGCCGAAGTTTCCTCATGCCTGTTTTAATACGTTGGGTGTCCCTTTGGTTGGCTAGGAGATCGATCACACGCCGAAAGATGTGAACTTTATATTCGCGTGTACGTGCAAACCTTCGGCTTTAAAAAGCGGCTTTGTTCTCGGGCGCATGCGCACAAAGCGATGCCTTTATTGTTAGGCATCAGCGCGTGCGCAGAAAGAGCCGCCGCCTTGGGGCCGAGGGTGGAGCAAGTGCAATTGGGCTGCGTAGGTGGCGCTCCTCGGCGGTGGGGGAGGGGGAGCGGGGGGAAGGGAAACAACTTCCCCGCTGCGCGTGCGCTGTTTCAGTGCCGAGGCGCGCGCATGCGCTGTAGCCTCGGATTGTGGGCCACGCCGCGCCAGACTTTGGAAGTAGGTGAGAGCGCGCTTTCCGGAGTTGTTGTTGGTCCCAATCCCGTGTTGCCAGGGGCGGCGGGGGCGCCTCTTCTGTACCGCCTGCCTTTTCTCCGAGCCGCTTTTGGCGGTTGAGGCCTGTTGTTTTGAGAAGCGGAGGCGGCTCCCGAGTTCGGCCGAGCGGAAGCGCAGGACCCGCTCGGCGCCATTTCCTTAGACTGGCGCCTGCCGCCTCTCGGGAGCTTTCAGCGTCGGGGGGCGAGGCGGGCCGTCGAGGAGAGTTTCTGTTGTCATGCGTAGGTGCTTCACAACGGGGGAGGGAAAGGAGGAGAGGAGCGGGGACCGGGGTTGAGGGGAGGAAGGGTGCCTGGCCAATCCCGGCCCGCACTCAGTGAGGCGACGCCGCCGCCTTTGTTTGTTTTCTTGCCTCGTAGTAACAGAAGGAGAAACGGAGACCACGCTCACCTCCAGCATGATGTTGAACGCCGAGGGCGGCGAGGGCTACGTGGTCAAGGTGCGGGGCCTGCCCTGGTCCTGCTCCGCCGACGAGGTGCAGAGGTTCTTCTCCGGTAAGTAAGCCCGCCTGCCTGCCTGCCTGCCTGCCTGCCTGCCTTGGAGGCGGCTGCCGGGAAATGAGGAGCACCTGTAGGGTCTTGTTGTGAGGCAAAGAAGAACATAACTGTTTGCCATTCATGTGGTGGGAGAACAGGGTGGGCCGAAAGTCACAAAGGGACTTGTATTGAACAACTCCTTTCTTTTATTTTAATTTATTATAGTGACAGTTATAACATCATTTACATGTAAAGTCTTTTGCGTAAGTTATTATAGCAGCAGACACTTTTTGTGAACTAATTTGGCCCAGCTGACAGTATGAAAAGTTCAAAAAGTATTCCTAGGTGTATACAGGTTACTTAGAATGATCAGCCATTGGGGTCAAGCGTGCTTTAAATAACAGACGGAAGAATTTGCAATGACTACAGAACATAGAAATTAAACTCATATGTAGTTCTTGCATTTATTGTCTACTTAAAGTATATTATAATAATTATAATACTAATTGTAATATAATATAGTCTTCTATATAATAAAAGTCAATGTTTGTATGCAGGCATGTAGCCAGGGGAGGGGGGGCTTGAGGGGCTTCAGCCCCCCCCCCCCCAATTCTCATGGTGGTTCGCGAAAAGGCCTTACTGGTACATTATTTAAACTGTTATGTTTATTCATATCATGATCTGATCACCATACTCAATATATGGGGGTATTGGGGTAATGATACAAAAGGTTTGCTAGGCTAGACCCTCTTTCACTCAGACTCAGCCCCCCCGCCCCCCTAAAAAAAAATCAACCCCCCCCCCCCCGAAACGAAATCCTGGCTACGGGCCTGTTTGTATGTATATATGTATGTGGGTATGTGGCAGCTTTCTGATTGGCTGCCACTTCCACAGGCCACTGCCACTCCTATGAATAACTGACCTGGACCAAACTTGACACACATAATTTGGATCACAGACAAGCAATGGCTTTTTCAAATAACTGGTACCGCTGGGTCCCCAAGCTAGTATAATAATAAAACTTTATTTGTATTTTCCCCAAGGGGACTTAGGGCGGATGCCAACATAACAATGGCAAACATTGAATGCCTACAGAAAATGCATGATATTAACATAAAAACCCAGGAAAACCCACATATAAAAGTAGTGTTAAAACCTGACATCAGTAAATTAAGATATATGTAGTCAGACAAAATTATATAATTATCTTTAGCTTAAATTGCAAATATTTTGTGTGTGTGTGTGCATATAATAAATAAATAAATAAATGCATGTGGATTCTGTGGTGCTATTACTGAAAACAAGTGAGAGAAAGTCATAGGAGGAGGGAGCAAGCTTGTTTTTCTTCTGCCCTGGAGACTAGGACACGGAACAATGGCTTCAAACTACATGAAAGGAAATTCCACCTGAACATTAGGAAGAACCTCCTAACAGAGCTGTTCAGCAGTGGAACTCTCTGCCCTAGAGTGTGGTGCAGGTTCCTTCTTTAGAGGCTTTTAAACGGAGGCTAGATGGCCATCTGTCAGGGGTGTTTTGATGCAGTTTTCCTGCTTCTTGGCAGGGGGTTGGACTGTATGGCCCACAAGATCTCTTCCAACTCAATGATTCTATGAATGCTCACTGAGAGTGCATGTGCAAGATTAAAAGTACACCTTTATTACCCACGTTTTGGTATCCTTTTTCAGAGATCTGTTAGTAACTTTAATTCTCCCATTCTTCCCTAGAATGCAAAATACTGAATGGATCTTCTGGGGTCCGTTTTATCTACACCAGAGAAGGACGACCAAGTGGTGAAGCATTTGTGGAACTGGAAACTGAAGAAGATGTGAAATCGGCATTGAAAAAGGACAGAGAAACAATGGGACACAGATATGTTGAAGGTTTGAATTGGCATAGTAACTGACTAAATAGGTTTTTATTTGGGTGGAGTTTAGATGCATGATTATCTTTGTGTGTTTGTGAATGTAAACCTGTTCTCCAAATGATTGTCGTGCATTGACCTTTCTGCGCCAAATTCCAAAATTCATTAATTCTGAGTGCCTCTTACAGTCTTCAAGTCAAACAACGTTGAAATGGATTGGGTTCTGAAGCATACTGGTCCTAACAGCCCTGATACGGCTAATGATGGTTTTGTACGTCTTAGAGGACTTCCATTTGGTTGTAGCAAGGAAGAAATTGTTCAGTTTTTCTCAGGTATGTGAGGTAAAGTTCTGGCTATAGTTGTGGGTAAAGATCAGAAATGCTAGTGGCACTAAAAATGCCTAGCCAT